AGCTGCTATCACCTCACGGCAGTCTGAATAACAGCCCGGGGGGTGTTCTGCCACTCCTGCTTTAGGGTCACAAAAAGTTTCTTAAGTGTTTGTGGCGGTGGTTGACGTTCACGGATATGACGGTCCAGCACGTCCCACAGATGTTCAATTGGTATGGCGAGCGGGCAGGCCAAGCAGAATTTCTGTACAAACACGTGCGAGGTGGGGTTTGGCGTTGTCCTGCTGAAGGATGACGCCATTGCAGTCAATAATATATGTTTAATATTTTACCAAACCTTTTTTTTAAAACCGATTCCAAAATAAATATCTTTAAGTTTCTACAATTATTGGGGGGCACTGGTGGCCCAGTCGTCTAAGGCGCCGCGATTCGCTGTGCAGAGTTGCGTCCCTTGGCATGCCAGAAACCTATGATTGTGGGTTCGAATCCTGGTTCGCCCCGATTATGTTTCTAGGTTTGTCAGCACCATACCCGTGCTCGTGGGTTTCACCGAAGTTTTAAAGTCTGAGACCTGCATCACTTCGGGCTTTCCTCCCACATTAAGCTGACACGCCTCGATATGACTGGAATACTGTTAAAAGCGGCGTTAAACCCAACTCACTCACTACAATTATTGGAATGTGAATTTTGACCATGTGTTTTTAACTTTCTCAATTAATAAACAAGACAAGTAGTGAGCAGGGCTCACTATTACCCCTTCATCGACTCCAACATTTTTCTATATTCAAAATAAGGGCGGTCGGGTAGCCTAGTGGTTAAAGCGTTCGCTCGTCACGCCGAAGACCCGGGTTCGATTCCCGACATGGGTAAAATGTGTGAAGCCCATTTCGGGTGTCCCCCGCCGTGATATTGCTGGAATATTGCTAAAAGCGGCGTAAAAACATACTCTCTCACTCACTATATTCAAAATATGAAAAAAACAGTATTTCTCCGAAAATCAGCTTATTGATAATAAAACTTGGCACTGCACCTTGCCTATTGGTATAGAAACAAGAGGAAAAGAATCCATGAAGAAGTTTTCAAGTTACAGGTCGCACAAATGTTGTTTACGAGTATGAAAAAAATCATATTTTCTAGGAAAATTCGCTTATGGAAATAAAATTTGGCACTGCACCTTTCCTATTGGTATAGAAACTACCCCTAATTTTAAACGAATCACTGAAGTAGTTTTCAGGTTATAGGTCACACAAGGTCCATCTAAAAGGGCTATGAAAACAACACCAAAAAGGACATGAATTTCCTAATTCAACTCGTGATTGATCTTGTGGTGGCACGTGGTCCTATGCACAGTGCACAGATCACAAACCAAGCGAAGCTAAGCAGTGTTGGTCGCGAAGTGTAATTTGATTGGTGACCGTGTTCGGCAGCTTGGTTCCTGAGAGTTTCTTACGCTTCTATAAAGCACATGTAGTGTCCCCCTAGGCAAGTGCCTCGGTTCACCCAGCAGTGAGTGGGTACCTGATAGGAGGAGATGATAATGTGACTGTTAACCTTCTGGCACGTTACAGGCAGCGTGGGTTGTATACTCCCCAGGGAGCTGAGAAACTGATCTATTGACTGGGGTCGTCTTAATAATGCAGCGCTACGTCCATTCACTCGGTGTATGGAAGTTGGTGCATTATACGTGCACTTGCTAGTATCATTATCTCAAGCCAGAGATCTTTTACATCGGAGCACGGTTTCAGCTGTTCTTGTTATCTCAATAGTTGAATATGATCAATGAAGTGTCATGTTGCCCCAACTGTTTTTTTCCCCGGTGGATGTCCTTGCTGGGGAACCTGACGTCACTACAGGATATGACGTATAGAGAAAGGTTGAGATTATAACCACTCCTGTGATAAAGGGCATTCCACTTCTTCACTGACGCATCCAACTCAGGATGGGGAGTTCATATGGACAGCCTGAAGACCCGGGGCTATGGAAAGCTAACGATAAGGAATTCTACGTCAACTGCTCTCAAGGCTTGGGCACTATCCTTGATTGCAGTAGCCACTGGCGGCAAAAGATAACTACAAGAAGCCATTGACATCAGGAGACACCAGCCAGCCATGAACCGTGACCAGGAAACCTATCTGCGTGGTGCATGGGACTTGTTGCTTTTATCTTTGTCGTATCTTACTGACGGTATGCGGGCTTATGTAGGGTCAGTAGAACTGCTCTCTGATTGGTCGGTGATACATTGAGGCATAATAATGTAAGTCTGTGACGTGACTGTAACAGTACTCTTACTGTAGGCTTTATGAATTAATGTATCAATGGTATTATGTAGTATTAAGTCTGTAATGGAAGAAACTAAGTAACTTTCCAGGAAAGCATATATTTCCATTTCAGGGCGAAAAGGGACTTTTTGGATCTAATGTGTACTCGAAAGACATCAGCACATCATTCATTGCGTCGTACGGAAATATGTTTTCAATGTGATACTATCAAATGACCTTATTGGTCACATTATGTTGAAAACGACATTTGTCTTTGATTATTCATTTACTGGCATTCAAACATTTTTTTATGCCCATTAATTGAGTAAGGCGTCCATTACAGTTCTTTTTATTTCAACTAATTCATTTCAAACGATTTATATTTTAATCGCTTTAATAATTGGGGCACGGACACGGGTGACCCAGGCGTCAAAGGCGCCGCAATTCGCTGTGGGGAGTTACGTGCCTTGGGCACGTCAAGAAACCAATATCCTGCCATGTATCTAAGGTTGTCAGCACTATATCCGTGCTCGTAGGTTTCACTGTTCACGGGGGGCACAGGGGGGCCCAGTCGTCTAAGGCGTCGCAATTCGCTGTGCAGAGTTGCGTCCCTTGGGCACGCCAGAAACCTATGGTTGTGGGTTCGAATCCCGGTTCGCCCCGATTATGTTTCTAGGTTTGTCAGCACCATCGGGAATCTGGATAAACTAGAGATAATTGCTATCATTATCAAAAGAACAGTCTAATATACTGAAAATCAGTGTCTAACTGTGACGTAGCGAAGGCATTTTATAAGTTTTGGCAACTTTGGAGAAACAATTTTGCGAGGGCACGAGGCCTAGCCAAGCGGGATCAGTAGCAATATCTGTGCTTGTAGACCTCTGCAGCTTGAAACCTTCTCCACAAATTAAAATAGTTGGATTTGGCCGGAATATGTTTGAATTGTTACCTTGTTTCGTTTTGTCGCTGTGGGTACATCTGACTACACTTCTTAACGTTATGACAGGACAGACAGACTGTCAACTACGTCTGACCGTGGCCAAGACGTCTCATAGACTAGGGTTAGAGTAGCTCCCCTTTGACAAAGGGCAGTTACTCTAGCGGACAGACCGATGGATTGGCGCGAAAGGCAATTAAAAACAACTGTTGTTTTGCGTATATGTTGCTGCGCCACTGTATAAGAAACAGATTTCAGTTGGAACTATATTGCCTACTGTCACTGTCCGACTGACACACCACTTACCCTGTGACGTAATAAATATTAATGCGCGCATTCCAGGAAAACTCGGTAATGTTTGTGAGAGAGGCAAAGCGATTTTGAAGCACAGAATTAAAGAAAGACATTATATGATAAAGAGGTTATCACGCTTGTGTGTCTGGGGATGGTAAATATCCCCGAACACACTCGCGTGATAACCTTTATTCATGTGCTGCCCCCCCCCCCCCCCCCCCCCCCAAGCATTTACACAACACAAGGTTTGATACATAAACTTTACCAAGCTTCAGTCCATCTCTGAATACGCAATCAACTGGACTGGAGAGGCTCGTCACAGAATGATCAACTGAAGCCACCGAGGTTCGACTTTGGCAGCTCACATTTTGGAGTATTTTTCTCGTTATTTCAATTATTTATTTTCATATTTTTCGAAATTTCGATGTTTTCTATTATTATGCTTTTTTTTCATTATTTCTAATTTTCTAAAAGAATTCCGAGTTCATTGTCGTAATTTCAGTTATGTTCTGATAATGTCCATTATTCAATCTTTATTTTGATTATCTTATTTTTTCGAAATTTCGACTTTCTTTCTCGTTACTTCGATTATTGTTTCGTAATTTCGAATTATTTCTCGCTATTTCAATATATTTTGATAATTCACAATTTCGATTTTTAAAAATAAACTTAAAATAACAAGAAAATACGCGAACTGACAAGAAAATTATCGAAGTAATGATCAAACCTTTGAACCTTCCAGAACATAATTAGTATAACAGCGAATATGTCAATATGCAAATGTACTTTCATGCCATGAATTCGAAAAATAATGCTATGTTTTTTCGAATTACCACAAAGAACATGCATCACGATATATAATATATAAGTTCGATATAGTACCTAATTAAATATTTCAACACGACTGATAATACAATGTCAAATGTCACAGCCCATGGGCAAAATGTGCCACCACCATTCACAGAAGTTCTAACGTCGCTGGTCCCAATCGAATCGAATCTGTACATAACGCTGTCAAGTTTGTCGAGGCCACAACTTCAAAGTTAATGTCTGCCTGTCAGGTAAATGGTCTACCTTGCCGCAGCACACAGATTGCCTCTGCCTTGTCGGAATTTAAACGTCGAGATCTGCACTCTGCGAGATTGTTCATTATGATTGGCTAACCAGGCAATTGTGGGTTTTTTTACGTTTCCAAAAACCGAAGATAATTAATACCGTTTCATACGGACAAGACTAATGTCTCGTGATTGGCTGAAAATTGTAGGGTCGGGACACTGTGTTGCATTGTTGAGCTGAATGATGCTACAGAATTGATGTTGTTGTCTACACACCGGTGTTTCACGTCCATTGTCAATCGAGAAATAGTTGTCAATTAGTCGACGTGGCGTAAACGTTTTTCGTTTATGGTAGCATTGTTCCTGGTTAACCAATCAAATGCCTTTGAATCATTTTCAGTGAGTGAGTGAGTGAGTATGGTTTTACGCCGCTTTTAGCAATATTCCAGCAATATCACGGCGGGGGACACTAGAAATGGGCTTCACACAGTGTACCCATGTCGGGAATCAAACCCGGGTCTTCGGCGTGACGAGCGAACGCTTTAACCACTAGACTACCCGACCGCCCCGAATCATTTTCAGTTTAATAATACATCAATAAAGGAACACATCCGTGATGTCGATACTCACACACGCCGTACTAGTCGCCGACAACCAGGAGACGAAACTGAAAGGGTAAAGAAGACCGAGAGCAGGAAACCATCAAAACAATGATACCCATGAATAGAGGTGTTGGTGGGAAACACTGCAATACCGATCAGGGGAGACGTTCAAGTAGGTATATTTCATTTTGACACTGCAGAAGCTGCTTTTGTCAGGTTTACTTGACTGACTCGTTTCATTTACAGTCATATTTGTGTTTCGTTCAATATAAAATTAGTCATAAGTGTGGGCGTACTATCATTTGAAATTAATGTGTGTATATTTCGTGTTTTCAGGTGCACGATGGCATTGTTGTTTGTCATGGTCATGGTCTGTATGGCTGATTCCACACAAGGTAAGAAGGACGAATGTAAACGTTAAAGACGAAATGACGGATAACATGCCATGGCATAAGCTCACTTGAATAAATATTTCTTCTCTTTGTGAGTTTTGAATAATAAAAAATACGATGCTGTTCCAATATGTATCGCCACGTTAAGATATCAAAGTCATGTTGTCGCGATGGATGTTTAGCTCACCTAATCTGTGCGTTTCTCTGTCCGCCGGTCCGTCCTTTACGTCAGTCGTAAACTTTAGACATCTCGCCTGAAGCAAGCGCTCACGCCATTTTGATAGCCGTTTAACATAACCCATAGTTGACTGTATTTCTGATATACCTCCGATATACCCCATATCCGATATGCTGGTATTTCCGACATATGATGTTGGATGATGTTGATGTCGAAGGTCACTCTATGTGTTGTAGGCTCAGAAAGCTTCTAAAAAGAATCTTAATATTTAAGATTGGTATTTAAGGACATTTTCTATACGTTGTCTCGTTGGGGTCTGAACCTGATTAGATTGTGGGTGATGGCCAAGAGCAGCACAGGTCATGTGATGGCACCTTGGTCAACATCTGGAAACGTTTGGTTTAATTCGTGAGAAATGAAATGTTTCTAAGAAGTCAGGATAAAAAAAACGTGACTAAATTAACACTTGGATGTCACGGTTGTATAAACTTTCACGATCAGTTTTAATGTCGAGCTCATGAAAAAGACTTGTAGAATGTAGGAGTTCCTGGCAGTAAGGTATGGAACTTTCGTGCAAAGAGTTTTTACCTGTGACTGGATGTCAATGTTTTTCATATGAGACAAGCATCCAAAACTTGTTCAAGCTCAAGGTCACCAAATATCATATTATTCAAGGTTTATTTCACTATAGAAAAAAATATATTGTCCTCGAAAATTTCTGAAAAAAAAAATTATGTTTTAGACTCTTGAAAAAAAGGAATTGCCTGCCACAAAAAATACACTGTTGCAAGGTGAGTAGATAATAATGTAGTACTTCATGAAAACAATAGGGTTTTCCTCTAACTATGCGGGGACAACAAAAGAAAGGATTAAGTGAGCAAATAAGACGGCTATTTACTTTGAGGATGCCTGAAATAGTTTTGGAACGGAAGGACCGCGGTCTCTCGCACTGGTGATAAATTCCAACTATATACGTTATTGGAATTGAAATGTCACACACACACGCGCCAGAAGGTAGCGTAGCGTACTCTCGTGTCACGAATGAATGAATAAATGAATGAATGGGACCAGCGTCGGAACTTTGTTCCCTTCGTCCACTGTGTAAGCATTGAGGTGAATCCGTGACACCCGCAGCGTGTGTTTATTGACCTCGTATAACGTGAGCTTCAGCGAGGGACTACTCATCATACGTAATGCATTTTCATACACATACAAGTGTGTTGTTGTTCATGATTTTGAAGGGTTTTTGAGAAGTTATTTTATTTTATTTATCTTTTTGTCATGAGATGAAAATGCATTACGTGTGTAGTCAAAACTGACAACATTACGATAAACTAAGGAAAAACAAGATATTCAAGTTTTGAGACATATTTATTCACTGATTGGACAGCAGCAGCAGCAACAGCTGATGCAGTTGTTTATGGTGTTGGAGTGATAGGTACGTGGGTACCAGTAGTAGAAGTGGTAGTAGCAACCCCGTCATTAGAATTGGTGACACCTGATTATATCTTAGGGAACATGTGTTGTACATTTGTTATTTTAAAAGGGATTTATTTCAGAGAGGATATATATGGGTATTCCCTCTCATTAAACCTTTCTTTCGTTGGTGTCTATTAAACGTATCCGGTATTTAATACATTTGAATGGTGTAGGAAAGTATGTGCGTGTAGATGTTGTACCTATATCCGAACACGAATGAATGACACCTTTCAATAGATCAATTACGGTTCTAACCACGACACGAAACATGACTATGAGCGTGGTTAGCAGTTCATATTTATAAACACATCGTAAATGACAGATTTCTGATGAATGAACTCGCCCGCACACATGTCTATAGGGTTATGTTCGCCCGAACTGTAAACAGTGACACATTGATAACAGGAAGGGTGTGTGGAATGCACTCGTCCTTGTAAGGGTAAAATACGCGTTTAAACTCACCATTTAAATGATGACATTACTTTTTAGATGTATTGGTATCAGTGAGTGAGTGAATTTAGTTTGACGCCACACTCGGCATTATTCCAGCTCTAGGACGGTGGTCTGTCAATAAACGAGCTTGGACCAGACAATCCAGTGATCAACAGCATGAGCAGCGATCTGTGGGAACCGATGGCACGTGTCATCCGAGTCGGCGAGACTGACCAACCGATCCCCGTCAGTCGCCGATAAGCATTGGTTGCTGAAGGTCGCTTCTATAACCCGGGACCTTCACGGGTGTAGTATGACGAAGACTATATACTAATATGATCGCTTTTTTAACATACTCACAAGTGTGCTGTGAAGAAAAGAGTGTCTTCCAAGAATCCCTGCACGTGTAAGACCCGACAAACAGTTTTACTCTCGCCAGCAAACGGATTGGACGTGAACAACATGAAGAAAGCATCAGAGATTAGACTTGACCCTAGAGATATATTTAGGAAGACTACGTTGAGAAAATCACAACAGAGAAAGAAACCACAAGCAGCCAAGAAGTCGACGCTGAAGACAAAGAAGAGACAGGTAACACCTAAAATTTAAACGATGACAACCAAACAGGGATCGAAGACAACTACTAAACCCGTAAAAATACAACATGTGTCGGAGGTGAAAGGCTGTGGTGGAACGGGCACTTGCTGCCTTGAAGCGTCAACAGAGTCAAGGGTATAAAAGAAAGCTTCATACCCTCTTATCGCACACCGTATTGGATCACCATGGGGGTTGCCACCTGTCCGGACTGTGAAAATATGTTTTCAAGGAGAGATGTCATGTTACGACACAGGAGAAATAAACATAGCATACCGCCGCCGTTACAAGCCCACCTGCCGCCGCAAGTCCACTCGCCATTGCAAGCCCACCCGCTACCGCCGCCGCCGCCGCCGCCGCCGCCGCCGCAAATCCACCCGCCATTACAAGCCCACCCGCTAACGCCGCCGCCGCAAGTCCCCCCACCGCCGCCGCTGCGTCAAGCCAACCCGCCATTACAAGCACATCCGCCGCCGCCGCCGCCGCCGCCGCCATCGCCATCGCAGGTGCACTCGTGGCTGCCTCATATACCATGTATATCTGATCTTCGAGAACAATTCAAGTTCCTGATTCCCTCAAATGCGCTCGTTGTTGGACCCAGTGGTTGTGGAAAGTCTGTGTTTACCTCTCATGTACTCCGGCATGGCCTGATCCAACCCCAACCTTCCCGCATCATTTGGTGTTATACTCAATCGCAGCCATTATATCAGGACCTCGGTGAGCAGCTGCCTCAGCTGACCTTTGTAAAAGGAATTCCCTACGATATCTTGGACGAGGATTACTTTGATGCTCGTCAACAGAACGTGTTGGTCCTGGATGATTTCCTGGCCGAAGCAAAGCACGACAAGCGTATTTCGCGGCTGTTTACTCAAACCTCACATCACAAGAATGTATTGATCTTTCTCTTGATACAAAATCTGTTTCCGAGAGGTAAGGAATCGAGAGACATTGCTTTGAACGCGCATTATGTCACCCTGTTTCATTCCCCCATAGATAAACAGCAAATCAAACTCTTCGCTCGTAGAATTTTCCCCGAACATATGGATCACTTTATGGCTATGTATGAAAGGTTGCTGAAACACCCTATGGACAACTCACCATCGATCTAAAACCTACCACCAAAGATAAAGATCGACTGCATGTTAACCTCATAAATGAGGAAAACAGGAGAACAACAGCACAGTCTGAACCTGATCTGCGTAGGGAGAAGTTGACTACAACAGAATCTCTGGATAGTCCTCCGACATAAGAAGAGAGATTGCCCCAACATCAGCTCACTCCAATTGAAACCGATTCAGACACGAGTAGTGAGACATCATTGACAATGGCCACGGCTTGCGCAGATTGCGGGGTGCTGATAGATAACATGCACGATCTACAGCGACATATCAAACACTGGTGTCCGGCCAATAGCCTTCAACCTAAGAGAAAGCGTGCCAGACTCGAGAGTGATGACGATGACAGTGACTTTGACGACCTAGCCTATTCCCAGAAAGGCAGTGGTCTTGCCGTCAAACCTCCACGTGGGAAGTCAACATTCACTAATATGGAAGACGAGGAGTGGCAAAATGTAGGCTTACAACGCATCTGGAAGCAGGTGTACGATACGTTTCATGACAAGATGAAACTGCAGAAAAAACAGTACAAGCGACAGGGACGAACGCAAGAATGGATTGAGAGATGATTGAATCTGAGGTGGGAGGATCTAGTGCATAGTACTCTCAACTATGCGTTGGAATATACCACGTACTTTAAAGAGGCATATCTGTTTCAAAACATGCTATACAACCTGGGAGACATGAATCCTTCCACGGAACAATCCGTTCTCAAAAATAAAATCAAACTCCTCCTAAAACCCAAGATGAAAGAGATCCTGCCTTTGATTGATATGCCGGAAATAGAAAGTGAGACTGAATCTGATAGCGTTGCAGAGGATAACGACGGTGATGACGAGGAGGAGGAGGATGATCGTGAGCAGAACGATTAGGCATAAATACCCATCACTACTATATCAGTCTAACAGTCAGAAGAGAATGCCGAGTCAACGCCACGCGTCTAGTTTGATTCATATTTTGAAAACACCTCGTGAACTGAAGCGTTTGAACGATAAGCAACGCCGAATTTCCCTCTACGTGAGAGGAATTGTGAAACTGGGACCTCCTGGACGGAAATCGTTACAAGCAATGGATAAAGCATAGACTATAGACAACCATTCAACCCTAAAACATTCAACAGTGCGAAATGTGTTTCAAAACATGGACTGGCTGTTTAAACAATAGGGCCTTCGAGCAGCAGCAGCAGCATGTGTATATGAGTGACTAAATAATGTTCCAGAGTGAATACTATTGTCCATTCACGGCTTTGTATGGAACCGATTGACTCGAATCAATAAATGAAACAAATGAATTGTTGGTTTTTTTCTCAGTTTTTGCATATAAGTATATAGTCTTCGTCATACTACACCCGTGAAGGTCCCGGGTTATAGAATCGACCTTCAGTAACCCATGCTTATCGGCGACTGACGGGGATCTGTTGGTCAATCTCGCCGACTCGGATGACACGTGCCATCGGTTCCTAGTTGCACATTTCGCTGCTCATGCTGTTGATCACTGGATTGTCTGGTCCAAGCTCGTTTATTGACAGACCACCGTCCTAGAGCTGGAATAATGCCGAGTGTGGCGTCAAACTAAATTCACTCACTCACTGATACCAATACATCTAAAAAGTAATGTCATCATTTAAATGGTGAGTTTAAACGCGTATTTTACCCTTACAAGGACGAGTGCATTCCACACACCCTTCCTGTTATCAATGTGTCACTGTTTACAGTTCGGGCGAACATAACCCTATAGACATGTGTGCGGGCGAGTTCATTCATCAGAAGTCTGTCATTTACGATGTGTTTATAAATATGAACTGCTAACCACGCTCATAGTCATGTTTCGTGTCGTGGTTAGAACCGTAATTGATCTATTGAAAGGTGTCATACATTCGTGTTCGGATATAGGTACAACATCTTCACGCACATACTTTCCTACATCATTCAAATGTATTAAATACCGGATACGTTTAATAGACACCAACGAAAGAAAGGTTTAATGAGGGGGAATACCCATATATATCCTCTCTGAACTCCCTTTTAAAATAACAAATGTACAACACATGTTCCCTAACGTATCATAAATACGGGACACTGGTCACACAGTTTATGAATGGGAAGCTTCAGGCGAGGCTGTTATGTTAACATTAATTGTAAGGCCGGGGTAGTGTATGTTGACATTGTTATGGGTGGCCGGTCGCTTAGTCTCTCTGCTCGTTCTTACACGCTAAATGTAAACTGCTAGCTTGCTGATTGCGTAGTCTTATCTATTTTGTCTATATTTTTTCCATACAGGTTGTCTAACGTTTATGGTGTACAACGTGTAGACCGTATAAGACGAATTTGATCCAGCTAGACGTACATTTTTTTTTTCCTTACATTACCCGGCGTATATCATGTTGACACAACCCGTCTCTATGGTGGTACTTGTACTTTCAACACACGCCCTGCATTCATCAAACCAGGTCGCACGCTCTAGCGAGCGGGCAATTTGAAACGACTACGTGAGTTGTACACTAATTGTAATTTCTACTAACGCCTGAAATAACGAAACTATTATGACCTATAAACAATTTGAAACGCCATACACATAGCTCTATTCATAACCCTTTACTTTTGTTCACTTACGAATTCTTTTCTGCCTTATAAACACACACCTTTCATTGCCCCCTTTCCCGACGCGCTGTTGATGCATGAGTCATCCTATCCGATCACGTGACTTGGATCAACCAATCACCTTCGCATCCGCCTGGATCAACCGGATCAACCAAAACTACCTTCTTGCGACCCGTTCTTTACTACTAAGGTGTTTTTCTTAAACATAGTCAGGTTCATAGTTTTAAAAATAAAATATCTGTTTTTATGCAGCACTGGCTGAAAAACGTCTAATTTCGAAACACAATCCCACAAAGAAATCAAATGGTCGGTCAATTGGTATTGTATGATATCTTCATCATTATATTCATGTAGTCACATTACAGTGTCACATGGATTATGAATATCAGACAAGGGAAAAAGAATTCTGTCTGTTTATTTGTATGGATGCCAATTTTATCACAGGTGTTATTTTGACGTAAGCGATCTGATATGTGCAGAAAGGATATTGCAGCAGTTATAACTATATTCCTTGTGTTTGACAGGTGCATGGTGTACAGAGGGTCAGCATTGCTCAGACTGCGACACGACGGGCAACTGCTTACAAGATTGTGACAAGGGATACTTTGGAGTGATATGCAAGTCGCCATGTAGCACCAAATGCAGATACAATACATGCACTCTAGTTGAGGATAGAGGTATAGGCAAATGTACTGATGGCTGTGTACCAGGATTCCAGGGCACAAGCTGTGACAGACCCTGTGACCAGGTAGTCGAATGTACGCTGTGCCCAGGGGGATGTGATGTGGACTACTGCCAGCTGGGTGGGGCTTGTTTTGCCGGATGTAGAGATTCCTTCTACGGAGCGGGATGCAAGACGTGCCCCAGTCACTGCAGAACCTGCAACAGGATGACAGGAGTATGTGACGAGTGCGACCCAGCACATTATGGAGAGAACTGCGAGAAGTCGTGTGAGAACTGTGCAGGATCCTGTGAGTCCAGCTGTGAATGTGTCCCTGGCTTCTACGGGGATTTCTGTGCCGAGACTTGCAGTAAAACATGCCGCCCTAAGTCAGTACACAAGTGTCTTCCATTTCCTGGCATGACGTCAGACAATTGTCCAGGTGACTGTCACAAACACAGTGCCGAGTGTCTCCATGGCTGTGTGGATGGCTGGTTCGGGTCGACGTGTTCTTCTCCTTGTAATCCTCGATGCCGACATCAAAGATGTAATGCTACAGGCTCTTGTGCTGAAGGCTGTGAACCTCAGCTTTTCGGTCCAGCCTTTGAACCGTGTCCTGAGAACTGCGTCAACCAGACATGTGACTCTAACAACGGCTCCTGTGTAGCTGGGTGTCGTGACGGGTTGTATGGGAACACTGCAATGAAACCTGTACGTTATGTCCTCGTGGTGTCTGTGATCAGCACACTGGTATCTGTGTGACAGACTGCCATGTCACCCAGGAAGGACGTGAGGTCAACTGTACACAGCCTTGCTCCCCACCAGGATGCTCGACAGGCTATGGTAACTCCAGTGAGGCTTTATAAATCATAGCTACAATCCAATATGGCTATTATTAATTTAAAATTAACGCAGAATTTTCAATTACTTGTTTCCCTCTTTACTCTGTATCTGTTCTTTTAATGGAGCATACCAACACGTGTGTAACAGAATTCACAAAACCATTTCCATAATCGTAAAGAAATCTCCAATATCATAAGCATGTGTTTATAAATCACTATTAAGTAGTATCATACTATGATACCAGGTGTATGAGACGTTTGCCAGTTGGTGCCGTAGGCCTTAGACGTGCTTGCGATTAATTATTCGCCAATATTGATGTGTACATGACAGTATTGACTTTATTTCACAACAAGAATATGGCTTTTTTGTCCCGGTTGGCAGTTGTCCCAGGGCTAATGCTTGTGTTTTGTCTGTCAGCTCTCCCGAACTGGCCCTATGTCAGCACAACCACACTGACGTCGCTTGTGTGTGCAGTCGTCCTTTTCGCTCTGGTAGCAAGTTCCGTATGCTGTTTCTGTTTCCGCAAATGCCCGTGTATACAAAGGTTAGTATAGCTGAATTATCCAGAACAGTATGAGTGAGTGAGTGAATGTTGTTTGTAAACGCGAGTGCGATCAGTAATATTCCAGCCATATCACGACAGCGTGTTGACATACAAGTGTTGACCAGACCAGTGACAGAGAGCACGAGCAAGGACCCACGCCGCCTGGGCCACATCATATCAACATTAGGGCAAATGAGATTGTTCATTTGATTATATGCGCCACAGTCATATTGCTCGAATATTGGCGACAAAGTAACAATATAAAACATTACTAATTGTGGTGCCATATATTTCTGTTTTATCTCTTCAAATAGGACAAACCCAGCTGCCACTGGTACACGCAACAATGTATTGGAGCAGGCGGACGCCGCTTATATGGAGTACCAGGTATTACATGATTATTGGGAAATCAGAGAAGATGCAGCAGAATTGGGCGACGAGATTCGGAACCAGAACCACGAAAGTAGCAGTGATGCCAGTGATGCTGCAATGTTCGTGTTAGCAGATTACTTTCCGGGAGAAGCCGGTGATGACGTCATTGAAGCCGGTGATGACATTAAAGCCAGAGATGTCGAAACTGAAGCCGTTGATAATGACATTGAAGCCGGTAATAATGACATTGAAGCCAGTGATGACATTGAAGCCGGTGAAAATGACATTGAAACCGGTGATGATGACATTGAAGCCGGTGATAATGACATTGAAGCTGGAGATGGTGACATTGAAGCAGGAGATGCCGACATTGAAGCCGGTGATGATGACATTGAAGATACAGATGGTGACATTGAAGCCAGGGTTGAAGACATTGAAGCCAGGGGTGAAGACATTGAAGCCGGTGATGGTGACATTGAAGCAGGAGATGCCGACATTGAAGCCGTAGAAAATGACAATGCATCAGACAGTTCTGTCACAGACAACCTTTCTTACACACATCTCGTGCGGGACTTGGTCGGTGCTGATCCGGGAACGGTCGTCACATATATATCACCAGTTGAGGACTAACATTCGTGATTTGATACAGTGTATATTCTCTACATTAACACAGATAAATACTCTACGCTTCAACAATGATGACGTAAATACCACTTGTAAATATACTGTACTGCCCCACTTCTCGCTCGTCTGGGACATGGAGAAAAGCCGGTGCTATGTTTAATGAAAAACTTATATTGCTGAAGGTATTAATTTATAGATGCTGCATGGACCGCAACTGGACATTTTCTACATCTGTTTTTACTTCACATTTAAACTGGGCTTTATGGTCAGTTAACTTCCTTGCCTCGGTAAGATTTAAGGGCTCGGGATTAACACCATTCATTCACCCGGACAGCTTGCTGCTTATTCCCTAAGTGAGTGAGTGAGTTGTATTTAACGTTGCTTTTAACAGTATTCCAGTTATATCGCGGCGTGTCAGCTTAATAGGGGATGGGGGAGCCCGAAGTGATGCAGGTCTCAGACGTTTACCACTTCGGTGAAACTCAAGAGCTCGGGTATGGTGCTGACAAACCTAAAAACATAATCGAAGCGAACCTGGATTCGAGCCCACAACAATAGGTTTCTGGCGTGCCCAAGTGACGCAAATCTACACAGCGAATCGCGGCGCCTTAGACGACTGGGCCACCCGTGCCCCCGTATTCCCTAAGTATATATGTATACGTGTTAAATTGATCCACGACTTTTGCCGTCAAAGGAAAGTCCACGTAAAATACAATAGACTACCTTCCTATATATGCGAGTGTTTACAATACTGTTGATCTAGCTGATTTTAAAGAGAGTGTCTGGAGTCTGATGCGATTATAGTTTTGGGGTTTATGGGTAATTGAATGGAAAATAATATGCTTTGTCAATTTTATATTCTGGTTTAAGGTGAATTGTGTTCTATACATTGAATCTTTTGATGAGGTCCACTACTCGAGACCTATCTAACGGACCTCATCGCTTCTCGCGTCTGGTAACAGCTGAGTAACCGGTGGTGTTTTCGTGTGGACCTTATTATTGTTTTCCAAAACCCAATCCGGTTTTTGCATGTTCACTTTCTATGAAACAAAGTATTTGAGAGTAAGTCTAAAACCTACAGCGTACACTGACAGGCTGTTCTCACCTTTCCGCGAACACCTGGTATCATCACTAATTGAACGTGATTCATAAACACATGCTCGTGATTATAGTCGGCATCTTACACCATACATTAGATTAAGGAAAGACGAATATAGATACGTCTTTGGATTATGATTAAAAATGCTTATTTATATCAGATTGTATGTGTGTCATTTACACCGGTACATGGAAAGTGGCTTTACGATCACCGGTGTAAATGACACACATACAAACTGATATAAATAAGCATTTTTAATCATAATCCAAAGACGTATCTATATTCGTCTTTGCTTAATCTAATGTATGATTAGGATGCATGGTGATGCAGATCTTTTACTTGTTTGATGGGACCCTCATCATTGCAGGGTAAGACAAGCAGGATATATCACAATTAGCTGACCGCGGGGCCCCGGTGCAGAAAGCGATCGTAGCGCTACCTCTGTCGTAAGCCTATGTAAAGTATATGACTTCCGACAGACGTAGCGTTACGATCGCTTTCTGCACTGATGAGGATAACCTAGAGTAACATTTAGTCTCTGAAATCTTACATTACACAATACCCTTCTCGACTCTAAATAAATAAATGAATAATTTTCCCTATGCCAACATTTAGTCTATGAAATCTTATATTACACAATACCCTTCTCGGCTCTAAAAATAATAATTTTTCCCTTTGTGGAATAGAGCTAGCTAGAGCTGGCTAGACTTGCTTTTGTATACATTTCTAGATTATTTTTTTCCATAAAACAAATATATTCCACAGTCTGGTGCAGGCCGTAGGATAACGTTGGTCGTTGTTTAACGCCGCACTCAGCAATATTCCAGCTATATGACGGCGGTCTGTAAAAAAATCGAGTCTGGACCAGACAATCCAGTGATTAATATCATGAGCATCGATCCACGCAATTGGGATCGATGACATGCATCAACCAAGTCAGCGAACCTGACCACCCGATCCCGTTAGTCGCCTTTTACGACAAGCATAGTCGCCTTTTACGGCAAGTATGGGTTGCTGAAGACCTTTTCTACCCTGGATCTTCACGGGTCCGTAGGATAACGTAAAATCATGAGTTGTCTCCCTTCCAATAACGAAAGTAGATCTTTATACCGACCAGGAAGAGGACGTGTTTGCAGTTCGCGCTGTAAGTATGCACCAATTCTATCATTTAACTACCGAGTATCGTAGTTAGACAGGAAACTATATTGCGATTGCAACTCAATAGTTGTAGATGGGTCACATTGGGTGTGGAAGGTATGGACAGGTGTTTGGATCGGAGGACAGGTGGAATGTTGTCAAAACGGTTGTTGACGCAGTGTTTTAAAATGTCAATCTGAAAACGTATGGCCGCATACAGTCTCTCTAAGACAACGCCCTGGTAAGAAGACTACGGTGAGTACTAAATTTACGTCAACAATGCAGTTTACCGGGCGCAGCTTCAGAATCTGCCAACAGCTCAATTTCCCCGCTACCGCTGTCTCGCTATACCCTCACCGTGGCTCACGCTCAAATGCACAAGATATATGCTGCTCACACCAAGTGTCAGTATACTAAATAAAAAGGAAAAGGGTGTAACGAGGCCAACTTACTAAGTTCGTTTGATTGACTCGGAATAGAAAAATCACGATATTTTAAGCTTCTGGACACTAGCACTGCTTCGATTTTCTTCATCCAAAGACGTATATAAATATGTAGCTACGTCTTTGCTTCATCTATGCCTCAATGTGTAGCTAAATGTATTGGCTTGAAATGATAGTATAGTTTCAAAGGGGTATTTACTATGGATTCGTCCTTGAACAAACTTAGTGAGTTGGCCTGGTTGCATCCCTTTCCTTTTATATAGTATACTGTCACTGGGTGTGACCATGTATCTTGTAGCTGCTATTCCTTGCGTTACAGGCCCCTGTGTATCCACCACCCCCTTTCGATGATTCACTCCCAAATGTCCGACGACCCATTCATGCAACAGACCAGTCAAGTGTGACCGGTGTCTGCCTGATCTTACCTACTTATTACTGAGCTGCTCGAACACATTATTCGATACAGTAGATTCGAGTAGTTTCTTCAATGATAAAGAATATAGGAAACTATTGAGAGATTAATAAAAAACTTTTAACTGTTGAGTTTGTTTTGCATTTTTCATTAAATACAATGTTATTTAGAAAAAGAACACATTAAATTAGATTAAACTTCTCCATAACCTGAGTATAATCTCACATGTACTATTCGTACCGTACTATATTCCATGAAGTCTAAGCCAGTAAGGTATCATTCGGTTCCCTTTTTGTCATTTCTCTCTTGATGGTCTTCCGATGTATCTCATATCATTTCCACCTGTGAGAGTCTCACTCACTTATCTCATCATCATGTCAACTCCTCGTCCATCAACAACCATTAAAGCTCCCCCGATCTCCACAGTACAGCTCAATACTTCACTACAGCCTACAAAGCAATAAACAAGAAGCAACCAATCTCACAAACAGTCTTCATAACATTCAAATACACAACACTACCCATACACAGTACCTTGGGTGGCCTATATTATAAAATTCATCCCTTCAGGTAAAATCCCATTCAAGGCCAACACTGCAACTCTTTCAAACATGCCTCCTCACAATGTAAAAATATCCCACTGTGCCCCAAATATGGCTATGAAAACCATAAAATACAAGGATGCAAATGGGCCGCCTTTGTATAAATTGCCACTCTGAAGGACACACAACAAATCAAAACACATGCCCAATTAAACAACAATACATACTTAAACTAACAGAAACACTAAACAATCAGACCTACCAAACCTCGCAACCATCCAAATATAGAATATTAGCTCAGAAGATGAATTCAATCCACTTACAGACCAAACACTTGACTCTACAATCCATCTCCTCCACCCCTACCACAGCTGACATTCACCCCACAAACCCACCCCATACAAACCAATCAAACCAATCAAATTATATACATGTATATATATCCCGAAAGATAGACCCTGCCCAACTAAGAACCCGGCACTTCAAATTAAAATACAAGAACTACTTCTACAACTCTACAACCAAATATGGACTGCAGGCACCACACCTACAGCATGGAAACATGCCAAAGTAGTACCAATCCTGACACTGGGGAAACTCCAAAATGAGCCCCACTCATACCACCCCATTTCTCCCACTTCTCACATCTGCAAAATCATGGAATCTATAATTAATAGCAGACATTTCACAAACATATCTAATAAACCCTGACCAGAGTAGCTTCACTCCAAACTTTAGACCATATTTTACATTTGGAACAAGACATTAGAAAAGCATAAGCACAAAAACAATACACTTTGGCCATTTTCATAGATTTTTTAAAAGCTTTAAACATGGTTTGGCACAAGGGCCTTATAAAAAAACTAGAAAATAAAGCCATTAATGGGCAGATCCTAAATTTCATTCACTCTTTTCTAACTGACAGAAACATAACAGTAAAATCATATGACACATTATCAGATACACAACCATTACAAAATGGCACCCCAAAAGGCAGCATCCTGTCACCGACTTTGTTTAATTTCATGATCTATGACATATTTCCAAATTCCATTCAAAATAATATATCATCAGCAGAAACTACAGATGACATTTCCCTCTGGACCTCCTCCAGCTCAATAACACAGGTACAATGTGACTTAAATAGCATTACAAAATCGTCTGACAAGTGGGGATGCCAAATCAAAACTAAAAATATAATTGGCATACGCTTAAAAAACCATTTAGACAAATTATACACCAAAACTACACTAATGAAGAAATTACTTTCCAAAAAGAAGCAAAAAAAGTTACATTTGACCAACATCTAACATGGATCTCAGCTGAGATCGCGATCTTAAATCCAAGTCACCTTACAATCAGGCTAAGATCGGTTTGTGCAAGTGGAATAGGACAATTGTATGGTGATTGTAAAGTTGATTGTAGTTGCCTAAGATCGATTGTTATACTTGCCATCTCAGCAGCTCTACATCAAATCAAAAATCTAAATCAATCCAATTTTCTTATTATTTCAGAAATTGGCCCAATTAAAACAATTTCTAAACAAATATTAAAAAACTTGACCTGATTTAATAAAAAACATCATTCACCCAATTTCATAACTTAAATCAGCTCACAAAACAATGAGTGGGAATGACAAAGCAGACATAGCAACCCATCACCTAAACTTAACTTTAATACATCCAAGACCGCAATAAAATCTAAAAGCAAACACAACATCAAAATTCAAAATTTTAAAACCCTGATTCAAAATTCTAACTCCAACTGGAACAAAACACTATTTACTAAACATATAAATAAATGCCACAACTTTAACCATTCGAACCTCTGATAAATTAATTTTTAGTATCATTAGTGGTAACACAATACTAAATTACATTCTCTTCAGAGATCTTACCTGACGATCTAAATCATGCTTTCTACAGCACCCTTCACTCCCAACCTTATCACTCTATCCCCTCTCACTATATGTCTCTACCTTTCAGCCCCAACAATCCCACTACAGTCTACAACACAATAATACAATTCATACTCAATGCTAAACTCACAGCAAATTTTTATAACATCCCAAACAAACGCCGCCTTTATAGATTTGTAGCCGGGTGGTGGTGCTAACTCTGAATGAGTTATAGCCACATAAGTACCACCCACTTATAACCCCCTTAGATTCATTCTATACATATATATACATGTTCATCTATTATCACCATCACTTCATTCTGTGTTCATTATATGTTCATTATATGTTGTCCTTGTCTGCAGTTGAATGTCAGCCAACTAACACCAACCTGATACCCTTCTGCAGCCTCTGTAATTTCTCCAGCTTCACCTGGACTTCCCCCTATCTGTTTTTAGATATGTCCACCACTTTATGTGACTGAAGCATCTTGACTTCCTTTAATACCTGTCAGATGCTACCTTTCTTTTGATTGGCCCTTTGGTCCACTTCTTTAACTTCCTTTCTCACCTGCCCTCCTCATGCATTCTGCATGAACTCTTTATGGAGGGAGGACTCTTGTTTACAGGTGAGAAACATTTCAATATTCTTATCTCTTTCCATCCTGCTTTGGAAACAAATATATTCATAGAAAGGGTATCACAGCTTTTCATTAAAGTAAAATATATTTAATTGCATTATTATTTAATTTGTCATATCTAAATATTTGCCAGCTCACACATTTTGTGTTACATTAATTGAGCACATGGTCTTCAACCATGTGCTTCAACCATGTGCTACCCAACATATCCTTATAAATTAATCTGTTTCCTTTTGGCTTAAATTAAATTCTAACAATTCTGCATGAACTCTTTATGGAGGGAGGACTCTTGTTTACAGCTTCCCTCCCACCATCTACTACACCAGAATAAATATCATCATCATCTTCAAGAACTGCCTCATGTTTTGACTAGCAGCCCAGTGGCTGGACACATTACACCACGCCCGGCTACAAAATGGCGCCCAACGTGGGGCGCCAATGTAACAGCCATAAAATTTCCGAGTCCCGTGATGGGATTCGAACCACGGACCTTCTGATCACAGGTCGGACGCCTTGTCCACATGACCAAAGAGGTTAACCCCGTCAGCAAGCTGACAAGGTAAGGATGTCATCTGTGGGATGACTCCACGCCCTGCTACAGATTCATGAATGTAAACAAACTTTTATAAGTGCTAATAGTGAAATAAGTTAAAGTTGAATAAATATATCCTGTAAATAATTTTAAAACTGTGATTTCTGGTGAATACTTCAAAATGTGTGTTTTCTGGTATGATGTGATGATTAAAAGTGCATAATAAGCCTCACATGTAGTCTGTAAATTCCTAAAAATGTGTGTTTTCTGGTCTGTTGAAAGGTAAACAGGTAACTACTGGGTATTGCTTGACTAACCAACCTTGACTAATCCTGGTATAAGCTGTCTGACAAATGGGAGGTTTGACAATTGGGAGGTTACCTTTCCGATCTTAGGGAGCTGCGGAGTAGGCGGTCAGATCCAATGGGTTCTTATGGTTGTTTGGGGGCAGTTGGGTAGCCTAGTGGTTAAAGCGTTCACTCATCACGCCGGAGACCCAGGTTTGATTCCTGACATTGGTACAATGTGTAAGCCAATTTTTGGTGTCCCCTGCTGTGATATTGTTGGAATATTGCTAAATGTGGCATAAAACCATACTCACTCACTCACTTCAATGGTTGTTGGGATGAGATGGTGTCGCACTAGGTCGTTAATTCGAAATTCAAATTTGCATTTTGCAGCTAACGTCACTACTATCGGGTAAAACCACTTCTGTCAGACATGCAAAAATTCTTCGAGGCACGCTTATGTGTTTGTTATCCCCCCGGCATATAATGCAGGGGGATATAGTGATCAGCCAGTCTGTCCGTCCGTCTGTCCGTCTGTCTGTCCATAATCATTTCCTTTTCCAGGGCAGAACTCGAAAACCATGAACTGTATTTGATCAAAACTTGGCAAATCTATCAGTCACATGCTATTTTTTAAATTTTTATGGAAAGAAGTTGGACATAGACTCCATTGAGGATGGGGTTCGTTTCGTTTAGGAATTTTAGAAATTTTTATTTTTTACGTTTCCATGGCAACAAGTTGGACTTAGGTTCCATAACTGGTGCCATTTGATATCAATTAAGGTGTTTTAGAAATGTTTATTTTAGAATTTCCATTGCAACTATTTTGACATGGGCTAAGAGAAATGTTGGGTCAGTTACCTGGTTTGGGACCATAAGGTGTTAAAATGGGTGGGGGATATAGATGACTTCCTTGACAAGATGACTTGTTTATTATTGTTTCTTGTAATTTGTCATTTGTTTGCATAAAAAAAACCACAGAAACACACTTGTTTTACTTTCCATTTCATATGGATGCGACCATGGTGGATCTTGTGTGGGTAAACAATGTATGCTTCTTCAAGAACATTCAACTCTTGACTCATTACATACAGAGTTGCACATTTACTTGTGGTTACTTTACAGACAGCTGGCAGGGATGATATGTCATCTTTCTTATGACTTGTTGGTATGGGCCCACAGTCTGCTGATGACAGACTGAGGCACATGCAGCGTTTGGGCAACAATATTCTGACGTGTGCCACCTGCAACATGCCTATGGCACGTAAACGTTCAGCACGTCGCATGATCAGTGATGTTGCTTCCTCAATGAAATGTGTTTAATCAAGTGTCTTTGAACCTCACAACCAAGTCTGAGTGACTATACCACCCCTTGCATGTTGTCCGAGGTTAGTGCTTCATGACTGTCCCAGTGTTGTGTTTAGGAGCTTGATTTCATCGGAAATATTCTCGCTACTGCCAGACATTGGTGTATTTTCCTGTAGTTTCACCTCAAAACAAAATATCCCCTACTTCTTGTGCATAGTATATTTACTTTCTACCATACAATACTTCTGTTAATGCAATCATATGTCCTTTTAGTGAGTCATTGTTTTGTGAGTTTGGTTTAACGGCGCTTTTGACAGTATTACAGTCATATCACGGCGTGTCAGCTTAATGTGGGAGGAAAGCCCGAAGTGATGCAGGTCTTAGACGTTTACCACTTCGGTGAAACCCACGAGCTCGGGCATGGTGCTGACAAACCTAGAAACATAATCGGGGCGAACCGGGATTCGAACCGGGATTCGAACCCACAATCATAGGTATCTGGCGTGCCCAAGGGACGCAACTCTGCACAGCGAATCGCGGCGCCTTAGATGACTGGGCAACCCATGCCCCCATGCCCCCACCCCCTCCTCCCCCCCCACCCCCTCCTCCCCCCACCCCACCCCTTATCCAGCTCCCCACCCCATCACAACAGGAATAGGTACAATAACAAACTATATATTAACAAATAAAAGATATAAAGTTCTTTTTTGTTTTAGATAGTCTGCCAAGGATTTTGAGATGCTGAAGTACAGTCTGCTTGTTATAATCCTTGGTGAGTTTCATGTTGTCCATCAGTATTCTGTTTGAAACACTAATCTTTAGTTATTAAAACATATTTTTTAGTTACTTAAATCCTACCAGAAATCAAAAGAAAAAAAACAATCTCGGGTAAACAAAACAAAACAAATATTGAATGGATATACCGTATTCGACGTAATAAGCGCCCAGGGCGCTCTCAAAATTAGTAGTAGGAGGCTCTTATTAGAACATTATGTTGGTGGAAAAAAAACAGAGTTGAAAGATAAATTTTGTGGTTTATAGTGACAGCCTGAAATGTTTATGTACGACAGATACATTTTTCCAGAATTTAATTGTTCATAATTAAGGGTGCACATAATACACGAGTGTGTATTATACGCTAATAAATAAGTCTTGTGTACATTGATAAATAAGTCTTGTGTACATTGATCTATCGGAAGGATTGCTAATTGGGATTGTTCACTAGCCAATATATCAGCATATTTATATCGCCGTGGGCGCTTACCAGAGCAGGGCGCTTATTACGTCGAATACGGTACCTACATCTCTTTCTCCATAATAATATACAAATTTCAATTCACTAACAATCAAATTTTAGATGATATTATCCTAGCTGGAAGCAACTGTGGAAGCGTTTTCATGAACGTACCCTCCAGCAAGAATGGTCACCGTGCGAGAATTACAAATATTTATCTATTTCTAGTGGCCAAACCGCAAGTTTAATTTAGAGTTTATACCATGCCATGAATTGTCTCAAAATTGGAAATGTGACTTAATCATTCAAAAGTAACTCATAAACATTGTGAATGGCAACAGTCTTTTCAACTTCTGGTTACTCGTCAACATTTTCTGGCTGCTGCACATGGCAAACACACTGCCTTCGGCGGGAAATGAATTACTGTTACTAATTGAACAAAAGTGTGAACCTGGAACAATAGTCATTTTTCACTGAACATATGATGAATTGTCACTACTAATCTATTGAAAATTCAACAATATTTCCTTCGATATTGTACTGTACGCACTTCAAACAGAAATAGACAGCAAAACTGACGAAATCCCTGTGTATCATAAAATATCATTCTAGATTGTAAATAATATATTTTTGCCAGCAAACTGTAACACCATTTACATAATGCACTATTCGGAATATCTTATCACTTTGAATATATATAGGATTTAAACACATATTATCGAAGACCGAGAAATTTCATAATGGCAGATTGTTGTCTCCCGCCTGCTAATATAATGAACACCTGATCGTAGTATACAAATATCTGTTAAACTGTTAATTATATTTGTACTCGTGAATAATTCCTTCTAAAGTTGACAATGAACAGAAATAATTAAATAATAATTTAATTAGTCTAATATTTCAGTTGTCAGTGCTCATTATCCAATAATATACACTTCTTTTAAAACTTGCAGTGGAATAATTAAGTGTTTGTATGCAAGGATATATCTATATCATCTAGAAACATTAATTGCAACATAATTTGAGTCACAAATATCGAAAATCAAATATAGTTTCCACTGAATACAAAGTATCTCTGATAATTATCGGGGCGGTCGGGTAGCCTAGTGGTTAAAGCGTTCGCTCGTCACGCCGAAGACCCGGGTTCGATTCCCGACATGGGTACAATGTGTGAAGCCCATTTCTGGTGTCCCCCGCAGTGATATTGCTGGAATATTGCTAAAAGCGGCGTAAAACCATACTCACTCACTCACTCTGATAATTATCAAAATTTCATCACATTCCAAACAAGCTTGTAACTTTTGGACCAGGGGAGATTTTTTCTCTCATAGGCAAAAAATTCCAGGATGATCCCTGCTACCAAAATCAACAAAGTCTTGAGTCCACACTAGGTCTTCGATGTTTTTTCCATTAAAAATGGCTCCCCCCTCACAATTTGTCATTTCTCTGCATTCTGACAGCTGCATAAATCTGATATATTTTGAAGAGTCTTGGCAAATACGTTCTCAAATATCATTTTGAACTATATTGTCATTTTATATTTAATTACATTAAATTGAGTGCATAATGTACAAATTTCCTGCGAAAAAATAAGGTGATTATTTCATGATCCAGTGTGTTGAAATTACTTTCATTGGTATCAAACAGTGATTGTGAGAATCAACATGTTCCATTGTTGGTATCAATGGATTCGAGCACAGGACCATGTAACTAATAATGACAACCAAAAAACTCACAGATGAGGCCAAAAGCCTTCGGCTTCGTGTACGATTTTTTTTCCAATTTTTTTTTCTGTTATTATTGTCAGTTGCATGGTCCTGTGATTCGAGTCAGTCATCTACCATAATTTTTAACGCCAAAGGAGTAAAAACTGGACAGTGAGTTAGCCCTTCTAATAAGGGTTGTTCACTAAAAGAAAACATTGTTATCGTTGTTTTCCAACAATTTGTCGAACAGCATGGAGAAGAAAGCATGGGAGGACATTTCCCAGAGGTGAGTGAATCAATGGAATTTTGTGTGTGTGTGTGTGTGTGTGTGTGTGTGTGTGTGTGTGTGTGTGTGTGTGTGTGTGTGTGTGTGTGTGTGTGTGTGTGTGTGTGTGTGTGTGTGTGTGTGTGTGTGAAGAAATATGTAAATAATGATCACATAATACATTGATGTTTTGTGTTTAATATTGAAGGAAGAGTAACACATTATGACAGTGACTGTTGTATCTGTAGCTTATCTCACCAACCTGTCAACACAGTGTTATTTCAGCAGCCTGTTTTTTGTAATAACTTGATGTGAAGGGTATATATCTATATAACCTGCAACTAGCGCTGCAGTTATAAGGGCAGCCATTTTTTTCTATCCGTATTTTAGACGAGACATTCTCTAGATATGTTGCTGGGATTTGGAGTTCGGTTACTTTTTCCGAAGTAATAACTTATATGAAAGAACCAAAATCGACTCGCTTCATTGGGCATTTATAAAAGTTCACTGATATTGTTTCAGCATTATTGCAAACAGTGGTGTCAAGAGACTGACCAAAGATGTTGAGAAGAAGTGGATGGACTACAAGTATGTGTATACACACAGAAATATTGTGAACATGATATTATTTATGTAAACAAATACTTATTGCATGTAAAATAACATGTCCTGGCACTATATATGTTGAGGGAAACCCTCATATTAGACTGTTAATATATAGAGAGAAGTTATTTATAATGGTACAAAACATTTTTGGAGATCAGTCAAGGTATGTTTGCTTATTTCCACATTGTATTCCATCGGGAGTCAGACATGGTAAGAAGAAGCAGAAAGGTGGAGGGAGAGAGGCAACAAACACTGGTGTAGGGGGGGGGGGCTCCACCATCCAGCCTTCCTGAAATGGAACAGCAGGTGAGCCTTCATTGTATTTATTCAATCATGCATTTCATGAATGTTCTATGATTGTTTAACGACCAGCTTCCTCGTTTTTTTTGTACAAGTGATTGTAATTGATATTGAATTGTTACTTAACAGTTTATATGAAAAAGTCTTAATAGAGCAGTTAGATTGTGATTATAACAAGTCTTCATTGGACCAATAAGTATTTAGGTAAAGAACTTATTGCTTCTTAGGAATTTTGCAATAATAGGAATATTGATTTCACACCTTCCTGCTTAATTCAAGGTTGTGAGTGTGGCTTTGAAAGCGAAGAATGGGATTGTAAGTTGTGTGATAGGTAGTGTGAATGGTTGTATGTGCAGTTGTTTACTAAACAGGTCTCATAGTTTATGTTAATGACTATATCTCTGACAGTGTGATGTCAGCAGATAATATTCCTCAAGGTCATTACCATATACATAATGGAAATACCGGTACTGCACAATACGTTATGTTTAAAGGATTCTGGGTGTGGAGAGATTTACAACTGATAGTTTATTGTAAGTATACCTTCCACAACATAACACGAAATCATGTATACAATATCACAGGACTTAGAAATATAGTTCATAACTTCTTTATTTAACTCAGAATTTCGTATTCATGTGGTTATGTTTTAAAGACAACATTCATAAGTCTCAGTTAAATGATTTGTTTCTTTAATACAGTTGATGCAGTTTCACACTTGAAGGCCACAAACACTCTCAGTGGTGTATACAGCAATACATCACATTGGAAAGTTGTAAAAAAGTGTAATTTACTGAAGAAACCCTGATTTTTGTTTTGATAAAGTTTGTATACAGATGGATGATATAACTGTTGCTGTGAGACTTGTGTCATGTCATGAAACTTTCTTTCAGACAAGGATACCATTGTTGACATAGAGAGGGAGACACTGAAAGTCCTAAAGGATCTTCTTGAGGTCCAAAAAAACAGACTCCACTTGGAAGAACAGAAACGGGCCAACATCATTTCACTGGAAGCTGGCCGCTCTGGCTGACTCAATGTGTCACCAATTATTCAGTTCATATAAACTTTGTGTCATTTTCAAAAATAAAACAATTCAGACAGTAAATGTAGCTTCTGCTTTCATTGATGATCGGTTACTAAAAGACATAATAATCTTTATCACACAATCATTAAGAGAAACAGTAGTAGTATTATCTTAAAGTATCATATCTTAATGTCATCAGCACCTTACTAATGTCTCAAATATTGATAAATGTTGTATGTCAGTGAGTAAAATAAGTGATGTACATGCCGTGACCTGGACTTAAGGAGTCCAAAACCCTCTCCACGGTATGATGTGTTCTACAGTGTGCAGTGTTGTAGTGTTCCTCAGACGGTGTTGTAGGGTTCACTATTGGTGTAAGTGTAGGCAAGGATTATATCCTACCTAAATATTATCCTGGGGGAAGTTTTACTCTAGAGTATAGTATCCTACCTTAGTGCCACACTGGTATAGGTTCAAATTCACTAGGGAGAATTATCCTGACGCAAGAGAATTTCATCCCCGGCAGAAAAAATAGGGGCGGATAGGATTGACTCTTACATAGCAGCAATGGGCGACATGATTATCTGATTGAAAAAGTGTCAATGCGTTAAACATACTGACCATGCCACTAAAAATTGAAAAACAACTTAAAATGTCCCAATTTCAAAGGTTATTCCATTTTGTGACAATTTTAATGGTGTCAGCTTACATTGTGAAATTTTGTATTTCCGTATACGACGCTATAAGCGCTCCGCTCTAATAAGTGCCCACGGCGACATTTGCTAAGATATTGGCTAGTGAAAAATCCCAATTAGCAACCCTTCCGATTGATCAATGTACAAAAGACTTATTTATTCGGGTATAATACGCACTCTTGTGTTATATCAGCCATGCATTCATTAATGAATGTTAAAGTTATTTAATCTATGTCTGTGTGTGATCATCCAACTGGTTGTTTACAGTTTCCTTTTTTCATTCTGTATTCAGTAGTGAGCATTGCTGTAAAACAATCGTCCTTTATCACAATGGAAATTCTTTCGGTAATAGAAACCTGTTTTGGACCTCATGACAAAACCAATATCGTGCCTCAGGTAATGATTTTGTTTAATATCAATGAGTAGGTGGTATTACATATTGATGACTTGAGAGTTACCTCCCTTACTGTACGCACTTGTGTATTACGTCACTGTTGTTGTCTGATGGTGTTCTTGAAACTAAGAAGTAAATCCATTGACCAACCACTTCTATCTGTTATGACTTGATAGTAGTGACGTCTGGTAACATCAAGCTCTTAACAGGTGACAGTACTAGTCATTCTCAAGGTCATTAATGGCGTAATCAAGGTGTCTATCCTTCGATGTTTCACTTACTAATTTTGTTATTACATGTGAACAACTAATTTATTTTACTGTTAAATAAGGATGTTGCTGGGAGTTGTTAAAGTCTGTGCAGTGTGATGTACTTTAGTTCTGAGTCACAGATAGCTTGAACATTTATGGCACAGAAGCCCTTCCTGCAAACGTCTTCATCTTCGGGGGGTCACACACTAGGTATGAGGTGCCATCTATACAACCAAGCGCTATTGGAAATCTACTAATGTTATAAAATGCTTCCTCTGTAACTCGTTAGTCGGATGTTGTCTTTGGGAACAAAATCAGTTTTAGTTGTTTGACAATGGCTTCATTTGTACGGGTAAACACCCGTGACACAGTGGACTGGGATACCCCATGCAAGTCTGCTAGTTCAGTGAAGAACGACCCCTGACCATAAAATCTGAGGGCAAGCAAAACCTGTGTTTCCGGGGACAATGCATGGGAAAGCTCTGTTTGGGAAGCAAGATATGGTTTTAGTGTTTGTAAGCAAATATTGCATGATGTGGTAACCGGTAGGGCTGGATAATGCTGTCTTCGTCCAGTGTTGTCAGGTACCCTAGTTCGGTCTCTTGGTTGTGACCGTTTTGATTTTTCTTCATATAAGCCAAGCAACAAATATGAAGGCAACTGATTCTAAAGTTACGACAGAAATGTTTGATTTACGATAGGTACTAGCCACTCATAACTTTTCTCTTAATTTTAAGAGATATTTTCTCGATAGCCTTGTGGATTGCCTAATTATTTATTATCACTGTCTATATTGACATTTCAAACTGTTGACTACATATCTAGGTGAGCTACAGTGCAGTGACACTCTGGGTTGCAGCTATTTTCAGTGTTCTCAGTGGACTCATGCTGAATGTAAAAATCCTTAATAGCACAATAAATGATAAGAAAGTGCCAATAGTGTAAGTAACATTGATTATTTCTCTGTTCCAGCAATCCATGGAAATGGTGATGAATGTCCCTCTGGTAAATATGGTTTAAACTGTGATAGGAACTGCAACCATAACTGTGCCAAATTTGGGGCACAATCAGTCCACTGTCACAAACTGACTGGAAAGTGTTCGGAAGGATGCAAGACAGGCTGGCACGGTGACCAATGTAATCACAAGTGTAGCAAGAACTGCCTCAACAATGTCTGTAACGTACAAAATGGAGCTTGCATAAAGTGCAAAGTGAACTATTCAGGACGTTATTGTGAGACAATCAAAGGTATGTGGACTTAAGAATATGTGTTTATGTATTTGGCCTGCATGCTATTAGGTACACAATTATTTGTCCATCAATGATTCCTGAATTGTGTCTTTATCATGTTACGTGTCAATTCCAAAATTGTCACAGTATGTTAATTCAGTAATCTGCACGTAAAAGAAGAACTTAGTGTGAAACCAACAAACAACCAACAAGTGGTTTCCATTCAACAAATTTACAAATCAATACATATTACTGCATAGCAATTACAATGACAGTGCACACTATGATGGCAGTAGTCAGTATCAAATACACAGATACAGTGGTGATGGCAAATGTCAGTGATAGTAGTATATTCACCCAGCGGCGACGGTGGTCAGGCTTCCGAGATGGGCTAGGCAGGGAATCAGGGATGATGAGCGATCCTCACATCAAACTAATTTCCGAAAGCGATGAAAAGTGTGAGAGTCGTCATGTGTAAAAGATCCCTGTACCCACCCTTGTCCCACTATATATACAACCTACCCAGCCACTGGAAGTTTCTGGAACTTTCAAGACAATGCTGTAAGGCTCTAAACAAAGCTGGACGAGTCTTGCTGTTTCCTGAAGTTTACGAACCACACTAGCATCTAAATAAAGTAACTTCCTGACAACTGCTTACCTTATATAGTACTGCATTGCTGACAACTAATCACTGTCCAAACACAATACAATAAGCGTCTACCAAATCTCTACAGATACAATGCAACACAGTTACAATCATTGTTAAACAATGAATTACACTGCCATATAATATCAAAGAGGTAAGTAATATCTAAGTGATTGATAAATGTGCTCCAGTTGGTCCTATATGAATTGTACACTTGCCCCAGAACATGCATTTCATAACCATATCAGAATCAACAACATCTTCTGAATCTCGTTTTCGTTTTCCCCATTCTAATTTTATCCAAAAAATTTTTTAAAAGATTTGTCTGCTTTCCTCCCATGTCAAGACAAAGCCCTATTTCACTGTTCACATTTGGCTATGAGGCTGTCATATGAACAATTGGTTTAGCTCGGCTAAACAATTATGATCAATTTATCAGACTATCAATTTCCCTGCCTCTTGCAATAATAAACACACGAAAACATTGTTCGGTTCTAAGACAGCATTTTTTCACAAATGTTATTGAGATTTGGTTAAGATTTCTATGTTAGTATTATAATGTCATATTTACTCCCAGTCCAGTGGACCGATAGGGTTATATTTTACAGGTCCGTAGCCTTTTTCACTGGTAGATTACTGGGGCTGTGTATTGGCAAAATAATTGTATTGCAAAATATTGTGATACAGGTATAGGTATTGCAATAGTATCATACGTATTGCGTCATATTAGGAGCTAATGTGTTTGACACTTTTTGACACTGAAAGTCCATGAAGTTCCTGTTATGTACATACTAAGGCACCTGTGATTGTTACAATTATAACAAAATACTAAAATAAGGGTAGGTAGGCGATCTATCATTTCACGGCATGTACTGTATCTTGTAGAAAATTAAGATTTATTTTTTCAAATAATCATTTTAGGAGTGACAGTTAAATGTCTTCATTTGTACTGTGTCTTAAAGTTTCAAACATGAAATGATATAGCTGGAATACTGTCCAAAGCAGAATTAAACTCCACTCACCCATTCCCAAGTTTTAAGTGACAGAAAAACTCTTTATATCTAAAAAATAAATTTTTGAAACATTTGAATTTTATATTTGTATTTTAAAATTTTAGGTTATTATTATATGATTTTGCTTTTTTTTTTGTACATACAATATTTCAAAATTGTCACCTTTTGATCTTTTTCTTTGGAAATGCAGCCCTCAAAGTTAAATGTTTGACCAAGTTCAAATATATTTTTTTCTAAGTAGCCACAAAAAGCTTTTTAAAAACCTTCCTTTAATCTCTGCAATGTTTCCCACTTAGATAATGTATGGTCAGCCTTGACTTTTTAGCATTGGAACTACCAACTATGAAGTATGCAGCTTGTACACAACAACAAGTGCAAATCATAACATTAATCTTGGAATCTTATTTTAGCCACGCATACTTTACTTTTTTAATTTCCGCTGGCGTAGACCGTTTCTCTGTGTCTATATTTGCGTTCATCAGCTCAGAATGGTATCCCCCCATTAGAAGTTATTACGTTATGCTGTGATCATCTGATGTCAGATCACACCTTTCCCTCTGGTGTGTTCTGGCTATGATGTAATAGAGGACGGGTATTCAAAGGAATAGTTATCATTGTATATACTTTTGAGAGTACCAGCGCTATTTCATCATGAGTAATCTTCCTCCCCGAAACCCTACAAGTTTCTGAGAAATTGGAGGTACTGTGCATCCTGTCTAAAAGATCAAAGATCGTAACTGTGTAATACATGAAGTTTAGATGATGGTTTTGAAATCTGATCAATATTTATCTCTTATGACATATGCAAAATTATTAGCAGCCATGTCCCCTGTATCAGTTTCCAAGAAAATCTGTCGCACTTGTGGTACAGTGTAGTCCATGTTCTGCCGTAACTGTAAAATATTGATTTCTAATGACAGTTTTCAAACTTGGTTAACAATATTAACCAAATATGATGTATGAAAGACGTCACATCCTGATAGATTTTCTATTTAAAAAGTTAGAAGTAAAAACTATGAATAACCATAGGAGATACACATGCTGTCATAATAGTGACACATTCCTGAAAAGTATTCTGTCGGAGCCTAGCACTACTGAGATAGATGTATTATTTTACAGAGAAGGACCAAAAAAAAATGCCTCAACACCTCTTGCTGCAATACTTGTCCCCGTGTTCGCCATACTCATCATCATCATCATCACTGTGACTGTACTCTGCATAAGACACAGAAAGTATGAGTTTTTTCACTCCAACATGATTAGCCATGAAGTTGCCTTTCGAGGATAAATGATCAGTTCTGCAACTTGAGACCATAAACCGTGGCTTTTAGTGTATATATTACGTCCCTACTTTATAAACTGGGTGAATTGGGAAAATACAAGATTATCTTCCTCTACTTTGATGCAGGACATGTTTGGCATATTTGACTGGATCTAGCGGGATTTCACAGAGGTCAAGTTATTCCATACAATCAAATTTGTGACTTATCATGTGCACAACAAACATAAAAAACACCCTTAATTATCTTTTGTTTCATAATAGGGAGAAAATAGATTTCAAGTATTGATAGTACATGTAAATGATGATCTCATGATTGTTTGTTAGTCGGCTAATTACTGTTTGCTGTTCTGTTTCAGATCTTATCGGGGTAAGTATGAACACAGTAGTTGAAAGATCGTTACAAACACCAAAATAAACATAGGTAAGTGTTAAAGCTGTAGTTAAAAAACACCCATCATTACAGATTCATCCAGCTTCCTTCAAACAAAATAACATCAAAACTCATTATGACGTGTATTATATGCGCACACCCTTCTACAAAGCTGTGTTTTTGGGGAAAAAAGAGCACACTCCAAAAAATATGGAATAAGTCATAATTATGACATGAATATGCCCCATGCCCAGAAGCTCTGAGTGCTTACTGGCCACCTGAGTTTACTTATCGTTAAACTGGGATATGCACCCTCGATCATGACAGGAAGAAGGATTGGAAAGCTCCTGTAAGTCCACTCGTCCATGCCTACAATTCCCCTGCCACAAATCAACATCAACAGCTCCATTCTCTTTAGTAATATATATATAACGGATCAGAGTTCACAGTATGTGATAAAGCATACAACACAAATGGCCATAGCTGAATATCAAGTCTCAACATCAAATTTGATATGAACGTGCTCAGCCCCATGTTGGGCGCCAATGTAGTGGCCATAAAATTTCCGAGTCCTGTGATGGGATTCGAACTACGGACCTTCTGATCCGAGGTCGGACGCCTTGTCCACATGACCAAAGAGGTTAACCCCGTCAGCAAGCTGACAAGGTAAGGATGTCATCTGTGGGATGACTCCACGCCCTGCTACAGACACGTGTGAAATACCGTAGAGCACATGATGAGTCGACGACCTGACAAATCCGGACACTTCAAGATAACTTTGCTGTAGCATATACAGTAATAAACATACTACACAATGCAATGTTGAGATAAATAATCCAAGGGAAATAACTCCTTGACTTTGACATTGGCTATATAAACAATATACATTCATTATGCTTACACAATAGTGTATAAGCATATACAATACTTTGAGACAGAATGATATATAATATTACATTTAGTAGTATAGATGATGGTACGACACCTATCCATATCATGATGCGGCAAGTTGCTATCTTTTACAAAAATTATGTGGTATTATGTGCTATCATTTGAAAATCCATATAAATATGGTGTTATTCTTTAAGTAACCTTTAAACCAAATTGTAATGAACATATTCTCTATTATTTTTACTCATACGCATACCATTATTTCGGACATATTTATATTCAACATTTCTGGTTGGAGATTAAGAATAAACATTTTCCTCGATATAGGATGGCATCTTGATAAATATTGATGCTGGGTGGTACCACATAATTTTTGTAAATGTTAGCGTCTTGCTGCGTCATGATATAATTTTATGTGGATTGGCGTTGTTCCCTGATCATCTATACTACTCATTAAATGTAATGATAACATTTAGATTATACAGAAAGTCACACAAACATAAACAATTCAATGCTTACATTGTAGGTGACACAAGGCCATCAATATTACCCAACTGCCACAGTAATGGCAGCACCATATTCATCGACCTCAATGAGTAATACATAGACTTAATACATTTACATTTAATATATTAATATGTGCATTCTAATAAAAATTATTCACATGTATCACATCTGAATCCAAACATTACAAACTCGATCTAGACAAGCTTATAAAACATTCTAGTAGTGAAACAACACTAGCACACATTCATTCACTAGAGTGATAGAATATAATTTAGTGATAACTTCTGACTGTTTATCTTACTTGATGAAGATTGAAATAATAATGCATAGCCTACATATGTATTATATAACATTTGCTTAGTTTATTTAGTGGGTCACTATAACATACTCTGTTAAATGTTCATAATCTCTACAAACAACCTATGCCATGCTCTGCCAGTTAAAAACACTTAGGATTTCCCATCCGATGGCTTCCGTTTAAATGTACCAAAGCTGTGGCTGAGAGAACTTAATTCGTATTTTATGCTAAGATGTTTATGCATTGAAGTCGTTGAACTTCCTGTGTTCAAGGGCCATATTCAGGATTGTGTGCAGTGCTAGGGGATGTCACTGATGAGGTTATGGCATCGATTGTACAATTCCGACGAAAGCATGATAATGTGTTTATCAAATAGTAATAATACCAGGTTTTCACAGAAAATGTGAGCGTTATCCTGCCACGCCGTTGGCACACATCACAAAAACATGCAAAGGCAAGTGAATTGTTCACCTGAAAAAAAATGGGAACATATGGTACAAGTCAAAATATGGAATTGCATCGGAAATGATTTTTGTCACTGATGCATCAAATTTGGAAATGTCTTCCACATGTCTACCATAAAACTTTTTGAAAGCTTTACTGAGGCCTTGAATGTTGTAACCTTGATGACGCTCTCTGAAACCTTGGTAGAAAGACCATGCTCGATTGTATCTCAAAAGTTGTGAAATGCAAACACCAAAGACTGGAGCTGGTGCAATATTGCTCGACATGAAGGGAGTTGAAGTCATCCCTCTTGTCATACAGTCTTGTGGAGAGTGTTTTGTCACTCTGAATCTTTATGCATAGGTCTAACTATGAAAAAGTTGAAGGGGTTTCTTTTGTCCCCTTTATTTCCAGTTCAGGTGGGTAAATCAGTGGAAGGGAATTGACTATTTGATGGTTATTGAACGACATCAGATCATGGATATACCTGAAGCTTAAGTTCTTGGTTAAATGACCTTGTTTTGACTTTGCCAATACGAACAAAAATTCCGATTCGTTTGCATAAAGAAATAGATCTGCAAGAATGGGAGCACAATTGGTGCACAAGGGGATGCCTACTTCTTGCCTAAATGTTTTACCCCCAAATTTTATGTAGATTATCAACGACGCCCTTTATGCCATTACTATAATAAATCTGAAATGCATGGGTGTCACTGATTCTGTAACAGTGGCAATTAATCAGCCTGGAAAGACAAAGAATATATGATATCTTATGACCATCTTATGACCATCTCTCATGACCATCAAATAATATCATGAACAATAATAAGACTCATTACTCCAACACATGTTTATGCTTCTAATAACAGATGTGGTGTAGTCATCACTTCATGTACCGGTACTTGTTTCCATGTCAAGTCATGTTCGTCTCTGACGATGACCACACAGTGCTGTAGTATCTACATGACATATTCTGTGTTCCAGCCTCAGTTGGTGACCCAAACGAGAGGGAAGCTCTAAGCACTTCACAAGGTAGGTGGGAGAATAATGAGTACCTTTGGTGATAGTCTCTTTGTGTAATATGATAATTGTTTACATAGCCAAATTTACATTTTACACATGGTTGGTTTCAGTTCGAAAGTATCCTTGGAAAGACAATTTCAGAAGGTTGTATCCTTGTCATAGAGTTGTTAAACCTGTAGTATCCCAATAACACTCCCTGGAGTTACCTCCTATGTCCCATGTAGTCGTTGCTTTTCATTGAGTCGTGAGAACACCTTTCTTTTGGAGCTCAGAAAGATTGTTCAACTATACCCTTATCGTTCCTTGAATTGGGTTTAATTTATTACTTGGTGTTTTGTTTTCACACTATACACCAAACCTACCCATTACAAATAATTTTCCGCTTTTGGGGGAATTTGTCACTCATGTGTTCTACTCACAGAACTGTTTTCCCCATCATTTTTTTCTGTCATTTGGCTTGCCACTGTTGGCATGAGGCCGTTGGTTTTATGTCCCTTGCCTCCACTTATATATTTTACTTTTTACTATCATTTATTTCCCACGTTTTTTATGTTTGTGTTTTGTCATTAAACCGCCTTACTGTTTTTCTTGGCAATGTGCAGCATTATTTCTGTTTCTATGTTACGGAATATCACAGTTTAAACTCCACAGATTAACATGAATATCCCACTCAGACACAGTATACGCCGAATCAACCAGTCCTTGTTGTTGCCCCTTAATGCCGTGCGCCAGGTAGTGTAACAAGAAGTACCATCTTTTAACATCTTTTGGTATTAGGTGGCCTGGGTATCGAAGCCGAGACCTTCTGCTCTCTGGACTGACAAGCAACCACTGAACAACGGAGGCGGTACTCGTAGACAGATGGTAGAAACTAATGACTTACATCCACCCTCCTCTATCAGGCCCACAATCGCTAACAGACAGGGAGAGACTCAATGTCCAATCATTTCTAGTTCATTCTTCCACCACACCTACCGATGAGCCTACCAGATCACCTTCGCCAGTTCGTTCTCTGGTGGATGAACCCATTGAATGCCATAGGAGGAGTCTCCTTGACAGAGTTCACTGCAACACACCACCGGTCTCACGTCCTTGACCACACCACCGGTCTCACGTCCTTGACCACACCACCTCTCGACTGTGGCGAGATGATCTCAAAGATTGGCACATCAACAACCCGAAACTAGAGGCAGGCATATGAGCAGTGCAGTATTGGGGCCATCTGCTGGTAAACTCTAACCTCCAGAGCGAAATGCACAACAAGCTGCCAAAATGTCCCAGCCAAAGCCCAATCTCATCCGAATGATCCATCGCCTTCCAACTGGATGCTACATGCTATGTATCTCCACACAAAACTCACCAACCGTCCCCCTCCTCCCAGTCCTGCTGCTCTGGATATACACAATTACGTTCTCATCCTCAACGCACATTTCTGGCCGCCCCGAACCTGGTGTTCTTGACTTTCTTCAAATCTGCACACCTGAAGTGTCTGCAGAAGGGGCTGTCAGCACAGAGCTAAACTAAGCAGCTAAGGCAACAGGGGCCTCTAAGTCGACTAGTGTGTAACATTTGAATTATATTCAGGCATACTGCCAAGTCTCCTCAGTTCATGGTGGACTATATCCTGTTTCACCTATGTACTTTAGAAAATTTCAAACTACCCTGGTGTCGGCATGCTTCAGATGTCTCATGCTGAATGTTTTTTTCAACAGTCCGCGAACTGCACACCCTCTATATCAACAGGTTCAGTTCAAACACAGTAGAAAGTGTTCCGTATATGTTGGGACTTCATAGCTGAGAATCAACAATGAGTTCAGCCTGACAGGCACTTCATTATGCTGACGCTTTCCTCAATCGTCGGATCCGAAAATGAGGAGGAATCAATCAGAGCTAAAAAAAACTGACATAGCAGTGCCAGCCTCAAGACGGGAAAATAGGCATCATCTATTTATCCCAACGGCTGTGATCTACACAGGAGACATCACCAGATACACAGTCATCTTCTCGTTACGTGCTACCATCCTGCACGCCGATGGTGATGCGGTACTCAAACATCCTAGGGCTAATTATAAACTCAAAATCAGGGCGCTTACATCCACCCTAGCATTACATGGCAACTGCATCATGAAGGGTTGCTTCTATGACAAACACTGTCTTCATCAGTCACTACCTTCTTAACACCTCCGGAAAAAATGTGAATGGCATCCTCAGTTTTGGACCATCTGTGGTTGCACAACAGATCAGCAATCCCAAAGTCGCCACTGATTTGTCCTGGCACCTGTCGTCCTCTCCACTCAGTACTTACTGCTTGCCTCCATACTCCATACTCTATACTACCCAACTAGAGGTTCATCTTGCGGGCATTGGGAAAGTACTACCATTTTTTTCGTACGACATCCACAGTCTAGTTCATGGATGTACATTGGGAGTATGATTACCTGCGTCCTCCCCACACTCATTTGCTGTTCAGTGGAAGGGGTGAATGCGTCTAAACCACAATTCACCGACTCAGACGCTACACTTTATTCATTACTATTTACCGAATTTTCCAACATTTGTGAACGTAAAGTACTATTGCATTTGTGTTGGTAATCACTTGTGTCACACTTTCTGGTTCACACACTTTTTGGACCAGACCGAATGATTCCAGATCCTTCTGATGACACCATGCAGGTGTTCTTAGTGCTTCCTGAAGGTATTCACCACCACCACCTACCGGCGGATACAGGCTCATGCATAATATCATGTAATGCAGGCTGAGTAAAAAATATTAGAATATATTCTCTTTTTTATACTCAGCCTGCATTACATTTATAAAGTCCCCTCCCTTGGACTGCCGTTTTTCCTCCCCACTTGTACATCGGATGGGCTCCAGAAACTCAATAATCACAGAGTGGCAAGGGAGGTAAGGCATGCGGTCATTGGGAAACTAACCTTATTTATATCCAGAATACAATTTTTTGAAGGCTACTTTTGACCTGAAAAGAACAATATGCATAATGTAATGCAGGCTAAGTACTAAATACTGTCCTTTATAACATGACATCAACGGTAAAAAATTTGCTGTCAGGACATATTTGCATCACCAACTGCACAAATATACTATGTAATGAATATCTTTAAAATATAGCAACACTACAACACCAATGAGACCCGTGAAGAACTAGGGTAGAATAGGTCTTTAGCAACCCTTGCTTGCCGTAAAGGGTGACTACAGTCAAGTCCTGCTACTCCGACATGGTTGGTTGCATATATTTATGTCGGAATAACAAAATTAGGTTGTATCAGCATTCGTGAATAAAAATCGGACAACTTCACGATAGATGATAATACAAACTAATGGCGCAAAGCTCAAGGAAGCTTAGTGGCTAATGTCGACTTCCTGTTATTTCATTGGTTGGTCAAATTTCGCGAAAGGTAATTCTGACGTGACCTGCAATGGGATGTCTTCAGCGTTAGCTTGTATCTGATTTTAATTATATTAAGGTAATCTTAGCATTGATTAATCCTGTTTTGTATATTGAAAGCATTAATTGTTTAATGTTAAGCAATTTTATCTCTGCAGGCGATGTAATATGTAGCTATCATCCGACTCGTCTCGCATCAAAACACGGGGCTGTGTACTCGCGGGCAGATGATCACGGAGTACGCTGATCACTATGTCGGATTAACAAGACTGATTAATGAGTGATTTTGGTAATTCGTTGCAAATTAGGTGTGTCAGAGTTGGAGTGCGAGACTGTCGGATTAACGGGTCTAAATAGCACTGATTTAATCGTTTCCCATCATTAGTGTCAGATAAGGCCAATTGTCGGATTAACGAGTGTCGGACTGACAAGACTTGACTGTATGCTTGTCGTAAGAGATGACTAACGGGATCGGGTTGTCAGACTTGCTGACTTGGTTGATGCATGTCATCGTACTGCAATTGCTCATGACATCAATCACTGGACTAAGATGTTACAGAAACATACTATAATGTAAATGTCAATACCAAATCTGTAATACACAAACCAGCTCTTGTCATTCCCTCTACAGTCGGCATGTTGTTGTCAGCCAAGTTGTATGTTTAAATGATGCATCAACTGGTTTATATCATCACTATAAGATGCTAACTATGTAGCTGTAAGAGTTTACTTTGTGTTACAGTGGTACCGACTCCTGCACAGACATACACCCAGGCAGACTCCGACCTCTTTGATGCCAGCAGTATGGGGAACTTGTCGGCTGTGAAGCGGAACCTAGCAGCAGGTTCAGCCGACGTCAACTGTAGAGTCTGGGGAGGGATGACACCGGTGATGGTGGCAGCAGAGTTTGGACACAGAGAAGTGGTGGAGCTCCTTGTGAGTAAAGGAGCCGATGTGTCACTCGTGGCCGATGTCGGTGACCACACCCTTCACTGGGCCTGTATGGCAGGAAACGTTGAGATGGTGAAGTTTATCATCTCACAGAACATGGTAGACATCGACAGTAGAGGAGGTTGGGGCAGGACACCGGTGATGAAGGCAGCTCTGTTTGGACACTCTGAGGTGGTGAAGTTCCTTCTGAGTCAAGGAGCCGATGTGTCACTGGTGGCCGATGATGGTCAAAGCATCCTTCACTTGGCTTGTGAGGGAGGTGACATGGAGACAGTGAAGTTTGTCTTGTCACACAAATTGGCGAACATCGACGCCAGGAACGAGGGAAAGACAGCGACTGATGTGGCAAGTGTTGGGGAATATCGCCAAGTGGTAAAACTCCTTCTTTCTATTGGCGGTCACTGAAGTGAGTGGAGTGTGTGACTGAGAACATCTTGTTACAGACAGTCATGTGGTGTGTGCCTTTTAGGTTGTCATGTGTTTATAAGGTGAGAATGTTTGAGGAGAAATAAAACTTGTTAACTTGTGAACATCATGAGACATTTGGTCATTTGATGTGTTTGAAAGTTTGCATGATCAGGTAAGAAACTTGTTAACTGAGTGTAAATATAGATGATGTGTGATTGGTATATAAACACTGCATGTCATAATATAATTTTGGGTTAATTGAATGCCAAAAGTTAATAATTGTGAAACAGACAAAAAAAACGTGTTTGTTTACTGTTACCTCAGATGACCCGAATATCGCCCAGCTGATGTAGCGCCACATGTACAATGACGTTGACTTCACACTAAAGTGGGACCTGTGAAGGTCCGGGGTCTTATGCACAGTATGCATCATATTATGCACAGTTTTAAACAGCTGTTTTATGTGAGAACTATTTGAGTAGTATTACTGTAAATAGAATTTGTCCCGCTTATGGCCATCTTAGGCAAAGTTACATAGTATCTAAATTTAACATCTTTCCAAATATTCCGAAGTTTAATACACTTCTGTCATCGCAAGACACCATTATCAATATGAATGCAGCAAAATATATGTTTTATGCCAATGCTGTTAGAACACAAACACTCCCAACATTGATAATATGCAATTATGTTAAAACTGCTTTTGTTAACAAAGTAAAAAAATGTTGTTATATTTTATACTTTTGCATGTACATTGTATTTCATTTGTACAAAAAGGCCCATGGCCTACACGTACTGAATAAAGTGAAGAAGATTGAAGATATTATCACCACTGTTTTTTGTTTTTCTTACATATTGAAAAGGTGGGTAACATTCTGAAATGGTCTCAAAATCAGTGGACCATGTTGTAGCAAAATGTGTTTTGGGGGAAAGCTTTATTCTGCCTTACCTATTGATAGGAGTTCTGATTATCAGGAGGTTAAGGTTGTGAAGCTTTCTGCTAAGAAAAGGGATGGTTTTAATTTTGTTGAATTTGCAAGTGAGAAGGAAACTGTTTGGTAGGTGATTTACTTCAAAGGCAGTTTGTTTTGCTAGAGGATTTGAAGCAGTGTGTGTCAACGGACATTCAGACATATCTTGATAGCAGAAATTGGATCAGATGCACAAGGCTGCTACTTTGGCTGATAATTATTCGCTACCTCAGAATGATAGTTGTAAGCAGTCAGGGTTTACAGACAGGAGTTCACAGGGTTACAAATTAGGAAAGGAATGTTCATCCTCTCCTAGATCTCGTTCTAACTAGTCTGGTTCTGAGTTTGGTGAACATGAGTCATGTTCTACTCCTGTTTGTTCTAAAGATACTTCTGGATTTGCGTCAGAGCCTACTTGTAACTATTGCTGCAAGCCAGGGCATATCATTTCTTCCCCGAATGCTTTTGTGAATGTCAAGTCAAATCCTTTTCGGGGTTCCGCTACATGAGGAGTTAGTTGTCATCAAAGTCTGTTGTGAGAGAGGAGTACTTATGTTAGTTAAGGTTTTGTCTCGGCTAAAGGTGACAGTTCCAATGTTATTGTTTTGGGGGATACTGGTGCTTTTCAAACTCCGGTTTTTGAATGGTATTTTGCCACTTTCTGAGGAGTCAGCAGCGATTTACCAGTGCACCTCTCCATGTTGTGAACTTGAGGACAGATTTGGTGAAGGTGGGGGTTGTAGGAACTCTACCTGTAGAATTGCCCATGGGGAATGATTTGGCAGGGGGAAAATGTTTGGCAGATCCTGTTGTTTGCCGTGAGCCTAACACAGGAGAAAGTACTGAAAATCTTGAAAAAGAAATTCAAGGTTGTTTTCCTTTGTGTGTTGTTACTCGTGATTATGGCTGAGCAAAGTTCTTCTGGGAATAAGTCCAGTTATGATTTGGCTGGCACTTTTATGGATCATTCTCTTGACCTGTCTAAATGCACAAGGAATTCTGACAGTTTTACTGTTGAGGAATCAGTTCTGCGTAGGGAGTAGTTAGTTGAATTACAGGGGAAGACCCAGACATCTAAGTTCTTCCCAACAGAAACTGACAAGGTTCCAGATTGCTATTTTTCAAGTGTTTTGACGGGGAAATGGAGGCAAGATGTACCTGCTTATAAATGAATGAAAGGTTTTCCATCAAGGTTCTTCCAAATTCATGTAAAAAGCATGTTTTGAGTGTGGTACATGAAAGTCCTTGGACTGGTCATTGTTTGTGAACAAAACTTGTGGCAAAATTCTGTCCCATTTCTTTTGCGGCTTGATGTGGCTGAATTTTGCAAAACATGCCCTATGTGCCAGCTTGTGAAGAACCTTTCAGCAGGGTCATCATTGATTGTGTTGGCCCTTAGCTTTAAACTAAGTCAGGAAATCAGTACGTCCTTACCATCAAGTTTGCTTCCACAAGGTTTCCAGAGGCAATTCCTTTACGGAAAATTACATCTTATCAACAAGGATTTGAAAAGGTTCTTCACCATGGCTGGTTAGCCTAGGGCTATTCAGTCAGATCGGGGCTCTAATTCCATGTCAGTTTTTTTCAAGCAGTCTATACACCAGTTAGGCATAACTCAGATTAATTCTTGTTGATACCATCCTGAATCGCATGTAGCTTTAGAGAGACTCGTTAGTCCAGCCAAAATTTCATCAGATTCTTAAGACAATTATGAGGACTTACTGTTTTGAGACTGAGAAGCCTTTATTTGTTGTTTGCTGCTAGGAAGTCAGTTCAGGAGTCCCTAGGTTTTTGTCCTATTGACATTGGATTTGTTCATACTGTTCGTGGACCTTTAAAGCACTGAAAGGAGCATTGGCTTAATGACAGGTCTGAAATAAGTTTGTTGGAGTATGCCTCAATCATTTTGAGCTGGGCTATGGATAACGTGAAGGAATCCCAGGACAAAATGAACGTACATTATGACAAAAAGTCTCGAGAGAAATTTCAGTCCTGGCGAAAAAGTCTTAGTTTGATGGCAATGCCGATTATGCTCACCCTAAGCTAAACACTTCTGTAGTTTTAGCTGACTTGGATGCTAAGTTAGGTCATGTCATAAGCCAAGGTCAGGTACAGCCCATACAAGCAAAGGTGAAAGCTATTTCAAACTTCCAAGTGAAATGCGAAGATTCTGGGGTAGAATAGGTCTTCAGCAACGCATGCTTGCCGTAAAAGACTCCTATACTTGTAAGAGGCGACTAACGGGATCGGGAGGTCAGGCTCGCTGACTTGGTTGATGCATGTCATTGATCCAAATTACGCGGATCGATGTTCATGATGTCAGTCACTGGATTGTCTGATCCAGACTCGATTATTTACAGACCGCCGTCATATAGCTGGAATTCTGCTGAGTGTGGCGTAAAACTACAAACAGACAGACAAACAACAAACTTCCAGCTATACAAAACAAAAAGAAACTGGGTATGGCTGGTTACTACCGCAAGACCGCCTCCGTGGTCTAGTAGTGGAAGGTCCGGTGTTCGATCCCCGGCCGCGTCATACCAAAAGACGTTAAAAGATGGTACTTGGCTAAAACAAGAACTGGTCGGCTCGGAGTCAGTATACTGTGTCTGAGTGGGGTATTCATGTTAAACTGCGGCATGGTATCTCAGTGAGCTAGCACTATAAATCGGCATCAGTCCGGACTAGTACAAGCAGCCACACAAACACACACACGTACATGCACGTCGCTATATAAGTCCAATAATCTTTGACGCGACGTTAAATCCCATTTCACCTCATCTACTACCGTAACGTTTGTCTCGCTGAGCACAAAAGTGAAAATTGTTTGGGACAGAAATTCTCAGGCTGCTTTTGAGAAAATTAAAGCCATTCTCATAACTTCCTGTTCTCCCAGCACCAAACTTTGACAATCTTTCAAATTTGCAGAAGATGCTAGTGACGTGAGTGATTGGGTTGTCCTGTTGCAGGAAGATGCATCAGGCTTTGATCATCCTGTTTGTTATTATTCACAAACATTTAACAAGCAATAGGAAGAAAAATCCACCATTGAAAAAGAAACACTTGCTTTATTGTCAGCTTTGCAACAATTTTAGGTGTACGTTGGTACCACTTTGTTTCCTATTCAGGTGTACACTGGTCACATTCCACTGACTTTTCTTCATAAAATGAACAAAAACCAACACTTAATGCACTGGAGCCTGTCTTTGCAAGAATTTGATTTAGACATCAAGCATATCAAAGGCAAAGACACGGTATTGCTGATGCATTGTCTCGAGTTGGTTGTGTCTGCAAACATGGTTTGCATTTTTGTAAACATTGTTATAATTATCATGTATAATTAGGAGATAAGCCTTCTCTGTTTTGAAATTTGAGGTAGTATAACGGATTTATACTATCTCTAAATTTCGTTTAAAACCTAACACGTCAGTACTATAGTAGGTATACATCATATACTTGTTATAATGTGTTCTTGCGTTTAAAGATCTTAACACCCAAATGTGTAGTCTTGAGTGTGCGTTTTGGCCTCTTAAAAATTCAAATCAGCACATTTATTAAAAAAATCCACTTTATACGCTTAAAATACGAGCTATAGACCACCAGCAACCAAAGCAAGACCATCTTCCAGGGGACCATGGGGACTTACAGCTTTCTGCGTGATGTCCCAGCAGGATTTACATCGCCACCCTAGCTACTGATCAGTGTAGGCAATGCTTACCGTAAGTTAATAAATATTCAAGTAGCAGAAAGCGATAAAATCCTTGTGGATGATATTTATTTTGATTTTGATAGGACTTCCGTAACATTCACATGAGGGGCAATACATTTGCACCACTTTAACACCCTCAAAATTCTCAGTTAGCAATTTCCTCACATCAATTTAAGATTGACAATGTATTATATACAAAACATTTTTTCACAGTTTTTTTTTAATTCATTAATTCTGCTTCCTTTAGATATTTTAAAATATCTGCTCATGCGGGTAAAAACATCTTTAAGATCTTATTAAAGAAATGCCCGTATCCCTTTTCGTGACAAGGGGTACATCCGGGAACTTCCTCAACATCATTTTCAAGTAAAAGCTCATGTGTAAACCTAGTGTGACCAATAGGATATCAAAGCAAAATATCCTCACTGTGTCTTGACTGACAATCTAAGTAGGTATAACCATTTTTTTGGTTTAAATTCATGAAGTTTATTTATACCTACGTTGGTGTCCCACCTCTCTTCCATTAGATCCCGAATGTACTGTTTAATAAAGACTTTAAAAACACTATGTAGGATGAAATTGTGAGGATATTGGTAAGTCATCCGCTTCTTTAACTGCAGTGCAGGCCAGTGTTTTACCCACTGATAAACTGATGAGGTGAAATTGGGTTTAACGTTGCGTCCAAGATTATTGCAGACAGACAGACAGACAGACGGACAATTGTTTAATAACGTCTCACTTCTGTACAACATACTACATACATAGAACATAGATAAAAGTACAGAACCACTCAATATGAGTTATGAGAGACGAGGTCACATAAAATAAATACAAGTAGAATATATAAGTGGTAAAATATATCACGAAGGTAAATCTAAGCATTATATATAATATTCTTGCGTTTTTCAAGTACCCGTCTGCAGGTTTTGGCCGTTAGAAACAACAAATCATCATTGGACATAATAAAAGAGAACTTATCAACATCAGAAATAACTTGAAAAGTATCACAGCTAGAGATTCGCACATGTAGTTAAAAGGCTATCAGTAATGTTTTTATAGAAAGGACAATGAAATGAACATGGCTTTCATCCTCCACGCATTCATGACAGTTAAAACACACCCGTTCGTTCAATGGTATATTAATGT